TTTAATCACAGTTCAACTTGGTCGCGTTTCATTTAAAGGTAGTAAGAAAGGGACTTTTTCACTCCAGCCCTGTAGGTGACAGTAGTGGCATTAAAGTGGATTTAAGTTGATTAATCATGCCTTCTATGACCAAAAATTCATTTTAAAGATGCTTTTAAGTCAGAATGTGGCGTTGTTAAACTGATATCCCTGAATTTAAAATAAAATTATGTCGTTTACTGATACCCCAGATTTGGTAAGTTTATACCTAAGACCTGAGAACTGATGAAGTATTTCCTGAGATCGGAGGATGTCCTGTGATGCACACCATACACCTGATATAAACAACCAAGAACCAAAAATAACATTTTGAATTCAATTTAAATACATTGAAGCCACTGCAAATTAATAAAAGCTAAAACTGTGCTAATGTGGTCATTTAGCAGCTGATAGAAAGAGGAGTTTTGAGTAAAAACGGATCTAGTTTGGCCTCTGCTCGAAGGAGCAAGAACAGGAGGCCGGCTCCACCTGAGGAAGATCTGATGAGACCATTCTACTGTCTGGACTTTTAAACAAACACATCCAGAGAAAAGTCAGGAGGTTTCCTCCTCTCCTCTGTCTGTTTATGATTTGTCATAAATGAGCAAAAAAGACCTGGAAGTACCTCAGTTACAGCTGGGATTAGAGCCGGTTGAACTCTTAAATGTTCCAGAAAAAAAGATTTGGTTTGTTCTTTTTATCTGTACCGTGAAGCAACACTGGATCCTCTTTCATGAAAGGAACAGACATTATTTTATCATCTTTGAGTTTGACGTACATTCAGCCTTAATCAAGGTTCATGGAAATTACTAAAAATGTAAGTCATGTTTGTTAGTTTGGATGTTCAGGGTTTTACTTCCTAAAAAAGGTTAAAGCTTTGGACTGTTTTTCTGGCCAAAATATCAAAAGACAGATATTAAAAAGATTTTACTCTAAAATGAACATTAGGTTGAGTTAAAAACACTTATTTTCAGGTTTGCATGTCGAAGCCTCTTTCACGTGGTTATCTTAAGTGCAGATAGCAGCACCGCAGTCACGGGTCACAAGGGCAGTTATCAAGTTTATAACCCACATGTAATCGACTTTAGCACAGAGAACTTCCCGGCTGATAGTGAAGGTTCATGTTTCTCTGCCAATTTAAATTGATTCTAATATGATTTTTCTACAACTAAATCTAAACATAGAGGTTTCCTTATAAATGTGCAGTTGAAAAAATGTGGAGGTGTTAAGTCGACAGAACTGACATTTAGGGATGCACGATATTGGGATTTTGGCCGATATCCGATATGCCGATATTTTAAAACTCATGTAGCCGATAACCGATATCGATACCGATGTTAAAGCTGGACAAAAATAAGCAGACATTGAAAATAGCAGTTTTGTTATCCATTTCTGACACTTTGAAAAATAATATACTCAAATATATTTTCATATGCTGATATCAAATAGATTTTTAAAAACGCGGTATCGATCTATTTTACTTTCAAAATCTCGTGAAATTTCATCGTTCTGTTACAAACTCTCGTGATATTTTGCAAATTCTTGTGAGATTTTGTTAGTAAAATAGATCGATACCGCGTCAATATATCAACATATAAAAATATGGCAAAATTTTGTGAATTTTCGGGGGATTTCGTAGCATAACGATGACATATAGCAATATTTCATTAGTAAAAGAGATTGATATGGTGTTTTTAAATGGCAATATATCAGCATATGAAGATATTGTGATATTTTAATGGATCAATATTTTTTCCCTCGTCTTTAGAAGTTTTTAAGTCTGTAAAAAAAGAAGTTTTTGATGAAGAAGAAGAAGTAGTTATTTATTAATTTTTTTTTTAGACTTCAAATATCGGGTTACATATCGGTGGGGTGGCCAATGTCCGATATTCAGATTTAAGGCCGATACAGGCCGATACCGATAGGGGGCAGATTATATCATGCATCTCTACAGACATTATTATCTTTCATATATTACCATAAGTTACGGAATTAAATTACATAAAGGGGTGGCATTTCTGTCAGTAAATACAGTTAGATATCTACATTTGTAAATTCACTTTGATTCTAACCCAAAAATGCTTTTTTAGCCCAAAAGTGAGTTTAAATTTTATTGTAAGTCATCTGCTTTTTTTTCTATAGCTATAGGAATGAAAGATTTTCTGTAAATAAAGTCAAAAAAGGTTAAAAAAAAAAATTACTCAGCCTGGTTCTGCTGGCGTTTTCTTCCGGTTAAAGGGGAGTTTTTCCTCTCCACTGTCGCTACAAGCATGCTTAGTGTGAGGGATTGCTGAAGAGTCAATAAGTCGATAGAGAAAACTTTGAATCAATCTGACTGGATGATGTTGTGAACTGTAAAGTGCCTTGAGATGACATGTGTTGTGAATTAGCGCTATAGAAATAAACTGAATTGAATTGAATTTAAAATTTGTATCAACTCACAGATTAACATTTAATCAGGTTTTCATCTGTGACAATACAATTTAAGAAACAATACACGTACAAATCACTGATTTAGTAGTTGGAATCACTCATTTCTGAGCATAAACCAAAAAATGTATGAGTACAAATCACTAGTTTACTTGTAGGAATCACATATTTACAAGTAAAAATCATAAATTAATGAGCAAAAGTCACAAGTTTGCCAGATGGGATATTATTTGAGGGTAAAGATAACACATTTAAGAGAAAAAATCACATATTTACTCAATTTTAGGAGTGAAAAATAACATAAATTTGAGATTCATACTTGAAATGTTGTGATTTGTGTTTGTTTTGATGCTTCTTAACTTAATATTAATATCTGATGTCATAACATGTATCTGTGAATTAGGAAGCAAACAAATTCCTACATTTATTTACATTTTTGACTTTCATTTATAAATGTAGACATCTATGGGTATATCTTTATTTAAACGTCCACCATGTTTCCTGGGCAACAGCCGTCTTTTGTGAAGTTTTTCAGACATGTCTGTAGACTTGAAGCTGCTTCTTGCTCTCCTTAAATCTGACATACAATCCACTCTCTGCATTTTCTACTATAGGTGGCGCTGTTACGGATGTCATGGAGTGAGCTCTTCGTCCTTAACGCCGCCCAGTGCTCAATGCCGCTCCATGTGGCGCCTCTGCTGGCAGCAGCCGGCCTGCACGCCTCGCCCATGTCCGCCGAGCGCGTCGTGGCGTTCATGGACCACATCCGCGTCTTCCAGGAGCAGGTGGAGAAGCTGAAAGCCCTGCAGGTCGACACGGCTGAATATTCCTGCCTCAAATCCATCGTGCTCTTCACTTCAGGTGATTATTGAAGAGGTTCCCACCTCAAAGTTTGGTTTTACACTTCTTCATCAACAACAAGAGTTCATCATCCTCAAAAACATTAAATAATCTTGAGTTAAACTAAACACTGGCCGTTTGTCAGTAGGTGTACTTGTGCATTCTCATGTGTTCGAAAAAACTGGTACTATTCCAATTCACAAGAAGAAGAAGACAGAGAACGGACAAAGTCCCCGGATGTTGTTCTCGCCCCTCCCTCTTTACCCAGCATGCATCAGAGCAGACTTGTCCGTTCTGTTGCCGTTATTCAATAAACGTATGTTTTAAGATCACTTAAGGTGAGAACATTATACTTTAAGCGTCACTATATGATTTACTGCGTCATAAAAAAAGTTCCAATGTTGAGAGGACCGTGGCAACCAGCAGACCTCCGAGGCTAACGTTAGCCCGTCTATAGCAGCCCTCTCTCTGCATAGCCGTGTGAAGTTACGCTGGCTCTGATGGCGAGTTTTTTGTTTTAATTGGCAAAATGTTCATTTTATTTGTTTTTATCTGACTGCGTTAATTATTATTCCCCCTCTAAATAAAAAAAGTAAGAATTATTATCTAGGGACTATTAATAACAGGAGGTGAAATGCAGCTACAGACGAGCCGAGCGTGTGGTGACGTCACAAGTACGCTTCTGTTCCGATTGACGCACATTCATGTTAAGTTCTCCCGTTATCCCAAAGTCCATACTTTCCTGTGTTCTTCTCAAGAAAATACTTGGCGAGAACATGAGTCGATATAGCCTCGTGAGACCAGCCTGATCTTGCGAGCTTTCAAGATTTCACTCGCTAATCAGTCTGGAGACTCTCCGTTGAAGAAAATTTGTAACCGTTCACCAAACGAACGTCCAATCAGCGTTGGCTTTGAGGCGGGTTGAGGTGTGACGCAACGAGAAGCGCGACAGTTCAGTTTAAAGAACATGGCGGCTTCAGCCGATGAAACTAGCGTTAGCGTGGCTATCGAGCAAGTTTTATCGGAATTACAGAGTATTTCTTCACTGAAAGAAGAGCAAAACACTGCTCTGGAGGCTTTTCTCAGAGGAAAAGATGTTTTTGCTCTTCTCCCGACTGGTTTCGGCAAGAGTAGCCTGGCTTGTGGTTGTGTTTTCGTCGTCGTTCTGTTAGTACGTCATATGCTTCGTTGATCTGATTGGTTTATTTGGCCCGTCTATCACCAACATAGGCCAATCAGCTAACCAGTATTTTCGCCCCTTCCCAAAATTACTTCAACGGAAGGTTTCCAGATGGATATGCGGAGCAAATCCATCTGGCTGAGTCAGGTTAGAGTCGATACTCTCATTCTTGTGAATTGAGAAACGGCCATTGTTTACTCTGGTCCATACCTTTAAAGATGATAGATGCTATGTTTCTCCTCTCTGCCAATAAGTAGTGCCCTCGCGCTTGCCTTCTCTCATTCTGTATGGATTACCGGCCAATGCCAGGTTCAATAATGCTAGTAGTTAGCATTAGCAAATATTTATTTACCTGTCGAAAAGGAAAGCAGCAACGTTCGTGCGCTTTCTGATGCCCTTTGCTTTCGTAAGTTGGCACAAGCACTGAGATGCCTGACCAATGTTCCTCCTCTATTGCTCATTTTTATGCTTTTTTTTGCCATCAATCTTAGAAATCTAACAGAGAAGAATGTATTTTTTAGCTGTATAACAGGCCACGTGACTCCAACTTACTACTTCTATCCTGCAGAATCCTTATGTGTTGAATAATTGTTTAATATGTTATGGACCCATCAGAACTTTTAAAGTATTTATTTATATACAATGAAATAATGCTTCTATTTGGCACCACTCTGGACACTCTGTGGATAAATTAAAGTGAAAAAGTTGTAGCTATGACATTTAACTTTTAAACCAATATAATGTGATCTATTTTTCATATAAAAAGTGTTTCATATGTTATTTAGCATAATAAGAGAGTCTGTAAAACTATAATGTGAGCTAAGGGGAGCATCTAGATGGTGAATAAAAGTGGCTCGAGAATAGAGCCATGAGGATCCCCATGCAGGATTTTTTCTTTGCTCAGATTTAGAAATGTCAGATTACAAAATTTCTGTAACCCTTATTCTATACCCATAAAACTTTATGAAAAATATATATTTACTATTTTGCTTATCATTTAAATTGTATACTCTATTAAAAACTACTATTCTGCACCATTTTAGACATATTGGGGATGGCTTGAGATAGAAAAAAAGTTGTAGCTATAACCTTTAACTTGGGAAATAGTGTCATGTATTTTGGACCCTTTAAATTTAGTTAAAAAAACAAACAAAACAAATTAGAGAATGTTTCATCTTTTTTAAGTAAAACTGATACTTTATACATTCTGCAGATTTATTATTTCTGAAAAATTAATTGTTTTAGTAGGTCGAAGCTATAACCTCAAAAAACGGTGTTGCTTGCTTTTCCAATTTTGGAAAACATCTTTCAGAGAATTCAACAGTTCACTCTAAATAAGACATATTTAGCCAATCAAAATCCTTTACTATGAGCTGATTTTTAGACTTTCCAGTCTGTTTAAGGAAAATATATTTGTGTGGGTGGGGCACCAAAACTGGCTCCAGCCCAGGGTCCCACTTCCTACTAGATCTGGCCCTGCTGGCAAGCTTTTTAAAATTTGACCCAATCTAGGTGAAATATTTACATTTTAAAACAGCGGAATCCTGGTTTAATTAATCCACTTATCTAAGATAGATTTTATTATGGCATTGATTCATTTTTCATTTAGAGTTGAGCTATTTTTTAAATTAGATCAGCAACAAGATCTCTATTAAAAGACTAATTGCATGTAATGTGTGACGAGAAGGGGATTCAACGCTCGGCACATGAAGTTTATCCGGGTTTTAGTAACATCATTTAAAATGCAGTAAAACATTGTAAATATTTGGATGTTCTGCTGAAAGGTAAAAGTTCACAACCATGACATTTGGTTGTGATTAGCCGTCCAGATGGTGCCTGCTCAAAATGCAAAAAAAAAAAAAAAAAAAAAACATATTTAGGGGTCCTAAATAAAATGCTATGCTACATCTGTACTGTTTTGTATCCTTTTTATAATTACGCAAAGATTGATTCTAATGTAACATCGCTGACATTTACCAACAAAAATGTCTAATTTACTCTGAGTTTAACGATTACGTTTGATCAATGGAGCAAACATCCTGATCACAAAACATTTCCCCGGGGCCAAAAGAAGGTGATCCATGCTTTAATTTAATCCTGTGCAGATGGCCGACCTCACGCCATGTACCGTGCATCTTTCATGGTTGTGAACATATGGCTCGGATTTGTACGTGGCTCACAGACTCTGAGAGTTATAGGTTGATTTCGATGTCAACAAAAACACAGCCCTTTAAGTTTAACATGGCTCAGACAGTACAGAAGGAGTTAGCGGTTGGCTAATTGGGCTAAATGGAATTCTGTGGCACAATTTTCACTCAGTTGATTGTTTTTTTTTTTTTTTGGCCTTAAATCAGAAACATGTTACCCAAGTTTAAACAGCAGTTCTCAAACTCATCCGATTCATTAAACCTAAAAGGCTTTATCTTCGTTCAATTTATTTATATAAATGGCTGAATGTTTTCACTTTTACTCGGAGTTGTAGTAGAATTTAATGCAACAGATCGACATATACATTGCTGTGTAGAAAGCAGGAACAAATTACCAACTTTTACAGTCGTAGGGAAGTCATATTTAAATATCAAATCATTCCGGCTTAAACATGTATATAAATGTACTCTTTATCAAACTATATTGTCCCAAAACTTCTGTCTTAAAATCTGTGTTTTTTCCGTTATCTAATGCAGACCTGTTAGTTCTACGTCAGCCTGAACACCTAAATCCGGCCAATCATATATCAACGGTCATCTGTCAATAAAAGTTTTCGGTCATAGCATCTTGATTCATATGTCGCAGCTAATATACGCAACGGTTGAAATAAGAAACCAGAATCCTTTCCTTTCCCATTGAGTTGCGTCCCAGTGTTCACGGGGATGGATGTCTGTGTCTTCAGCAGGCGTAGAGCTAACAGAACTGGCAGCGTTGCGAGGCAAGGGCTCAAACATGTACGGCTGGAAGCCTTCTACACCAAACCAAGCTTCTGCCGCCCTGGCGTCCTCTTCCACAACATCTCCGTCCCCGCTTTCCTCCTCTAAATAAAAAATGGATGACGGAGGAGACTCATCCACGACCTCCGACACAAAACTCTCCTCCTCTTGCATGTTTCCGCTGTCCATAGCGTTCCTTGACAGCGTCGTTTCTAAGTCACCAATTTAGTGCTACTTGGTCCCAATGGAATTTCCCATTGGGAACCTGCTAGCACTAAGTTGCTAACTGGTTAGCAAGATGCTTCCGACAAACCGGCCACAACCAAACGTGCTTGTGAACCTTCTGCCACAACAATCCCGCCCCCTTGATAATCGACCAATCAGATTCTCTTTATTCACTCCTGTAAAGTCGTGCATCAATAAAATCTAGTGGAACTAACACCTTTTGTTTGATTTAATCTCAGTATCCAGGCAACTTTTTTATCAAGCCTGCGTTAATTTACACACGCTTTGTTTATCTGTTTATGTCGGAGAAAACAGTTAGCATTCATTCTTCATAAAAGTCAAGCCTGCTTCAATTTTCAATCAATTTTATAGTTAGTGGATGTTAGCTGTTGATCTGCTAACTTGGTTAGCATTAGCCTAGCCAGTGGAACATTCTTTAAATCCTTCATTCTTAGTTGCATAACTATGATATTAATACATTGAAATTCTGAGCGAAAAATTATGCAAGTTAAAGCTTTCAGAGAGCCGGTCCTTGTTTAGTCATGTCAATTCAAACTATTTCAATAAGTTTAACGTCCTTTTGTCGGTATATACCAGTTCCATCTGGAGGTATATTCCTCTGTTTTACTGGTATGCCATTTAAATTGATCTTTATGAATTAATACATAAATCGTTTCATAATTAAAGCTAAC